CACATTTCCTAACCATTTCAGTCGATGTAGCTTGACAGCTTCGTCGATTGATTTCCCCTCCCTCCTTACCTAGCACTCGACCGATGCCTAACTTCAATATTACTCACTCTATTATACCACTTCACAAGGGAGATAGAATGCAGGCACCTATGATCAAAAACAGCTAGCCTTCACATCATGTCTTCTACTCTCAATGGCCAGGTCTCACAGCCATAAAGCAGGACGGAGCGGACTGCTGAGCAATACACAGGCCTTTTGGTCGATAGCCAGCCGGATATCACGCCGGAGTTAGTGTAAACTGCCATTCGCGAAACGAGCCTTCTATATTCGTGAAGAGATTTTGTCGGCAATCAACCCGTTGGGGCTGATGCAACTTCCAAAATAAGTGAAGCAGTCACCATTTCACTCCCTGTTTCTAAGCCAGGAGTCAATTTAGTGCAGTCCTATAACATCATCTTACACCTGGCGGGAGCGAATCGCATGACAAACATACGCTGATAGCTGCTCAAGGTGTTCAGAAGACTCTGCTCTATTTTGTCAGCGTCTTCACCTAGGAGGAAGGACTATATCATCTACTTATCGTAAGTCAAGGAGATTATTCCCTGATAATAACAAGTAAATCCGTGAGTTGCTGAAGTCACTTAGGGTTAAGTCTATTACTACATCTATGATGAAATTGAATAGAAATGGGGACGGTAGGCATCCCTGAAGGACATCACTGGTTGTCACCACTTCAGATGACAACTCGCCGTAAGCTATCAGCTGGCTGACTGCATGAGTTCGAATAGAGTGATTGGCTTGATCAGTGCAATGTATTTTCTCGACATTCCCTTTACAGTTAAGCATCTCCATAGTACTTCTCAATCGAGTGAATCAAATGATGCCTTTAGGTCAAGACATATAACGATTGCTGGACGCTGGTAAGTATTCCTATATCCCAGAATCTGTCGAAGGGTGAAGATTTTGTCGATAAACCCTCTTCCTGCTCTAAAGCCTGCCTGGTTCACTCGTGTTTGTTACTCCCGTGGACCGTTTAGTCTACGTATTATTATTGAGCCTAGGATTTTAGATACTATATTAGTCAAGCTAATCCCCCTGTGATTATCACAGGAAGACTTGTCTTCCTTCCTGTATATCGAGATAATCAATGACTTAAACCAACCCGAAGGAACTTCCTCTGATTCCCAGACGCTGCCGAGTACCTCAGTTAACGAAGACATTAAACTGACTCCGCCGTACTTAAATACCTCTTGAGTCATTCCATCAAGTCCTGATGTTTTGCCTCGTTTCAGATTAGTGACAGCCTTAGTAACCTCATTTAGGGACGGAGGACCTGTGTCTATATGGCAGTCAGAGAGGTGTTGGATATTCGGTAAGTTGATCGTGGCTGTAAGTCAATTAAATTGCTCCTCAAAGTGTTCTTTCCAACTTTCTAGTCGTCTATCCTGAGAATTAATTATGGTGCCACTTTTCTCAGAGATTGTGAAACATTCACTTATCGTTTGCCTTTTACCACCTGTTTCCCTGATAAGTCTGAATAGCTGTCTGGTGTTACTAATTGCCGATGCCTTTTCCACCTCTTTCGCTTTTGTTGGCTGCCACTGTTCACGGTCGTTACGAAGAATTCTTACTAGTTTGCGTTTGAGTAGCTTTCGCTCCTCATCATAATCAGAGCTCGCCGGAATCAGTCTTCTTGCGTCAATCAGTTCGAGTGAGGCGGTAGAAATCCAATAGCTGTTACTAACTTTAGGCTTCAGGTCATTAACAGCTTTTACAGCTGTGTCTACAGCTAACTGTATGTTGTGCCAGGCTACCTCGGAGGATGTCCTGCTTTCGACCTCAGATACACGTTTCACTATTTCTTCCTTAAATAGGTACTCAGAGTCTCGATCTAGTTGGGGACGTAACTGTTTCGCTGCCATCAATTTTTTATATCTGTTTAGACTTAAGCATAAATGTGCGTGGACCAAGACGTGATCAGAGTCTACACACGTGTTCCAGAAGTATCGGCAGTCTTCTACTGACCCTTGCCAACGATACCCTATCGCTATGTGGTCTATCTGAGTCCAGCGTTGATTTGGTGATGGCGGTCACCAGATTACGCAGTGTTTCTCTTTGTGCCTAAAGTTAGTGCTGACTAGGAACAGATGATTATCTGGGCAGAATTGTAGAAGACGATCACCGTTTTCGGATCGTCTGCAGATAAATCCATACGTACCACCTACATACTTCTCAGTCTGGCACAACTTCCCTAATTAGGCATTGAAGTCGCCTGCTAAAACAACTATATCTGAACGTCTTGCTTTTTGCAGCAGATTAAAGAGTTTCAGGTAGAAATCATCCTTTAGTTCATCTGAACTGCAGTCTGTTGGAGCGTAAGCGGAGACTACGGAAAGGCGACGACGGGTAACGCCGTCCTTCCTTCTTCTAACAGACCCGTTCAGACGGACCGCACACATACGACTTCCTCCTGGGATCCAGTAAAGAAGTGATTTTTCTGCCCTTACACTCAAGGCTATCCCTACACCTGCTAGTGCTCTTGAACTAGCTGAGGGGTCTCCTGACACTCTTAAAGTGAATTTGGTAGATTCAGCTTGTTGGCCGGGTGAGGTTAAGTGAATGACAGCACTCGGGTTTTGTATGCATGTCTCCGAAACACAACATACATCCATGGCTTGAGATGCCAGAATTCTTGTTAGTGATGCCTACTGTCCGATTCGGCAGAGGGTCCTGACGTTAAATGCTCCTATATGAAGTTAGCGACGTGGCTTTAAGAGTCTGTCGCGGTTATTTCTATGGCTCTCATCGATTTTGTGGTCACAGAGTGAAGTGAAGATGACTCACTAGCCTGAAGAATAGTACTAACTGTAGTAGGGGAGTAAGATGATGAAAGTGATGTGGGTAAAGGAGAATGATGCTCGGGGAGGCTTCGTGTGCTTTTGGAAGTGTGTGGGCAGTTGTTACTTCCCGGCCGCCCACACCGTGGAAGTTGGTTGATTCTTCGGGTACTTGAAACAGAGAGAGGGTTAGTGTTGCGTGATGGCAGAGCCCAGGGGACAACTTCTTGAGGCCGGTCACATATGGCCTGTCTGAACTGACCTTCTGGTTTGGTTCCGTATTAGTAAATTTACTGCCGGTTACGGACCAGTATAAGGTAAGTCGGGATGTACAACTGTTGGGATCGACATTTTCTAACCCCTCCTCTTCAGAGTGGAGAGACAGCATAGCTGGCATGCTGGTCATCTGAGGGAAACACCTCACTGCTATTGCATCCCTGTTCCCCAGCAATACGACTTCGCCCACAGATCCCAGCATAGTGTAAAAAATTTACACTAAGCCGGTAACCGCTATCCTAACAATCTTCCTGGCATGGTGGTACCCGCAGGAACAATAGTTCGAGCCACTGGAGCTTGTTGGGTCATTGCGATGTGGAAGCCCGACCACCGCGTCAAAGTAGCAGCTGTTGGTCATCGACAGCACTCACTAACGGGGGTTTGAACCCAGGACCCTCCGTTTACAAAGCAAGCTCGTATACCATTCAGCCAATGGGACCCTATTCAATGGCCAGCCAACGAAGTCTAAGTTCTACCAATTCGTGATTTAGCAGGACCACCAACCAATTTTATCAGCGGGAAATTTGTCCTCACACTTGACTGAGTGAACCTCATTGGTCACGACTTCTCACTAGAACTCCAGGAAACTCCGTCCTGCAGTAAGTCACTAGCAGGCATCAGAATAATTTTCAAGAGTTGGTCTGTAAGGATTAGATTTGTTTTTACGAGTTTGACCATGGATTGATATCAGTTAGAGAACCATTGAAAACCAGGTAGTACTGGACAGCTGTTACTCACTTGAGTTCTAGTGAGAAGTCGTCACCAGTGAGGCCCAGTACTGCTGATGATTCCAAAACTAGGATGAAACAGCTATTCAGTACTTCCTCGTTTTCCATGGTTCTCTAACTGATATCAATCTATGGTCAAACTCTTAAAAACAAATCTAATAAAAATGTTAGTAAATGATTGTTCTCTCAGTGAGAAATCAGCCTAACACTATTCATCCATTCGAATCCGAACATTTTATTGACTGCACCATGTAGTAGTGAGAGCGGTCAGGTAATGTTTCTATTCCTACTGAATCATATTGACTGACTTCGGTTTCACAATGACAATCAACACACAAACACAAGAAATCATGGTATTATCGGAGCGATTATAGAAGTGCATCTTTTATTCTAAAACAGGAAAATTATTTCAGTAGCTAGCATACTATTCAACTATATTATTGAGAGATATTCACCTTAATTAACTGTTTGTCCCAGAGCTTTGATATGTTAATATGTGTCATTGTGCCAGACTAGTATCTACGCTGAAGTTCACCATTAGTTTATGAGATTGGAAAAAGGATGAAGTTAAATATGTCTTCCTGATTCATGAACCTTCTGACACCTGGTCTTGCCTACATTAACTTCCTGACAGAGGTCCCCGCAAATCCCTGTAAAGTTGTAGTAGATCGATAAGAGTGAGATAGATCCATTCGCTCACTGTTATCCCTGAACTTCTGGATATCTTATTTACCCCAACTTAGTAATGATTTCCGTGGACATATGTTGTTAGTGTAACAGAATGATGACTGGAACAAAGTCTTGAATAGCACCAAAGTTCAAAAACAAAACCTAACTCGCAAAGTTGAATATGTAGGATTTCCGTTCAAGAATTCTAGAGTATTCGGTTTGATTTCTACCACAGCAGAGATCATGTCATTACGTTATCCTTCACTCGTTTGTTTCTTCTTACGTATTGGTTTAAGTTGAATTGAAAACTTACCCAATTATGTTGGCTGATTCTTTTTTTTTTTCTTGATGCAGACTATTGTAGCCTGAAACATTATATTTCTGCTCAAAGAAGTTTTATGCCATTTTCACCTTATTGTACATACATATATTGTTAGCAATATAAAGAAGTGAAACTAAACCGATTATATACTTTCTTTGGTACACTCACCTCCATAAACAATGCCAAACTGTCCGGAGCCTAAAACTTCATCAGGAAATATTTCATATAGCGCTTGGACCTGCTAAAATAAGGCGAGAAAAGAAAACCAAACGTTAACTATAAACAGTGAGAATGAAAATATCTGTCAATAAAAGGGCTAGTTGCCTTGAAGAATTTCACATTTACTAGCCAGCCACCCGGGAGACAAAAGTAAGCCAGATGCTTTATTCAGTAAGATAAGTACTTGTCATGGATTCCTTCCAGATTTGTTATCAAGACAGGTGTTTATTCCTCTCTGAAGAGACTTGATTTATCGACTCATGAAGAAAACTGTCTCGAAAACAATTGATTTAAAATTCACACTTAAAACTATGGGTCACTGTAGCATTTTATCTAATGACTCCTTATGTTAACGCTCCAGTGCTCATTTGATTGACTTGGAAGACCTCACTATCATATTGTCTTTATTAGCTGACAGTTACTCTCGCTTGTTATATAAATTTATGGTCTGCAAGTTTCCTTTTATTGTCACCCTAGATGTTCAACCAAATATTTTGTTTACCTTTCTAATCAAGTTGGGTTAAAGATGACAGTGAATTTTTTAAATTTTTGTTGTAGTCATTCTCTCAAGATCTCTAGTGGGGTAGATTTTATTTCACAATTCTTATTCATTCTTTGTAATACATACTATGGGATGGAATTCTAGTGAGAAGTCGTAATACTGTTGGTGTCTAACGAGTCAAATGTGAGTTCACAGATAATTACCAATGATATGAACTACCAGTGACATTACGTATGGCTAATTAGCAGAAGTTGGAATTCATGGGATATTATTTAATTCCGTCCCGGTGGCTGGATGGATGATCAGCGATTTTGCCATATAACCCGAAGGTCTTGGGTTCGATCCACAGTGAGGTTAGTCATGTGTGCTACTACTGGAGATTCCCGAAATAAGACAAATAATAGCTCTGTTCAACACTCTCTGTTTCTACTATCCTATCAGAGATAACTTGATATCAGGACACTTTTTTTTAACCTTACTTCTTATTATAGTCAGATGTGTTAAATTTAAAACGTGCTGTCATCTCATTTGTGTTTTCACAAAATTTATCACCGGAAAATTGTCAATGAATAATGAATTTATTATAACTTCCGTTCATTAAACTGCACAGTTAAGTTTAATGAAAAAGGACAACAGCTATTCAAGTGAAAGAGTTAATTAGTTGATTCCTTCACTTAATTAGGCAGCAATGTTTCAACTACACGACATGGCAGGAATGACATTGTCATCACACTGAAATCACTGTGGGAATCTGCTGCACTCATCACAAAAAATAAAAAAAAGATAGATTTGAATTTTAAACAATAATGTTAAATCAGTCAGTTCTTCCATACAGATCACAGACTTGGTACTGGCGTCACGAAAAAAGCATTTCAAACAGTCTACTGCAGACTATCATCAACAGCCTGCCTCTCTTTCTTCATGCTGAAGATGAGATAGTCAGAAAGGATTAGCAACAAGGAAGTTTAGCAGTGAACGAACAAACCATGAAATAAATCGCCCAAAGAATATGGAGAAGAAAATTGATATTGGTTGGAGCACACTGAGGAGATCATTGAGAGTGACATCCCGAGCCTGGTACTCGAGTGGAATCCGTTCGGGGAATGATGAGTTAGGCATCTGAGTGTAATATGGAGGAGATGACAGCTTATGTATAGGCGAGTGAGAAGCTAGCTGAACAGCACTGTAGAGAACGGGACAAAATCAAGATATGCTGTTGAAGCCCTATGTTCCACTCGGGACTCAAGGGAATAATAAAAGAGCCGAATATTTATGCATTGAGTTCAGTAGTTTTGTAAAACCTTTTATCCATAAGAATAAGAGTATTCCAAAAGACTTACAATGAACTGAATTATTATGTAATTTACCACAGTGAGCATAACGGTGACTTTGTCGACGAACAGTGCATCAGCCTCAAGGCTAGTAAGCTACGTCGATTGTCATACCGTGACAAGTCCATATCTTAGTCACTTAGGAATAATCAGTGTTAAGTGTCAATCTGTAGTCTTGATAGTGGTTAGATTCTACCAACTCACTGGTTATGTCTCTGACTGTAGCACTAGGTAGCGTGGATTCAAATCTCCTATGGGATATCAGTTTCTTGGAGGTTGCAGATATGTCTTTCTGACAAATGAAAACCAGCACAAGTGACACTCAAAGGATTCCTGTCGATTGTTCACTGCTATCTAACATCATATATTACATTTCTGATGACTTTTACTCAACCAACAACACTGATATAATCTTGCAGATACGATGATTTAATTGCTTATCTTTTGTGTTGAATAATACTCACTCCATGACTAACAGTTTGCACAAACTGCGCTGTACATTCGTGAAACGCTTAACCAGTAGCACATTACTTATATTTGCATTAGTTAGTAGTATTATACTTGGAATTTTCACAAACCAAGAGGAATTGAGGATAAGAGTCAGATTTGAAATATATTTAATCAATAAACTACGGTATCTATCAGATATTTACCTTCTGTAGAAAGGTGTTTTTTGAAACTTTTAGTATTTCTGATCACAGTATAAATCTAACCTATAGCCTAATGACCACTTCTCAAAGATGTCACATTGTAACAACAGAAGACAGGGGCCAGGCAACAGATCGTTCATTAAGGAAATCAAAGCATATTTATATATTTTCACGTACATTATTATAGATTAGTTAAGCAAACAAACACAGTCTTCCGATTGGTTGTTTCTCACTTAAAGTTAATCTTTCATCTATTTGTGACTGTTTCTTGAATGTCAGATCATCTATATGTTAACTGTATCCGCCTACGCAAAGTCTGCTGTGGTCGGTTTTGAATCAGTCTTTGTTCATATTTTCTCACGACAAATCTTGAGAACGTAAACATTGACGTAAATTACTGTCTACCAATTTGGCTGGTAGACAGCTCTCACCACAACATTACTCCAAGCAGTACTATAGTTGCAGATGCTACTACTATCATGTTATGTTGTCTAGCCTTCAGCGCTGACCTCTGCTTCCAGATGAGCATTCCTATCAAGTGTCAATTTTTAGGGATTTGATTGGTTTCAAGTTTGTTTACGGATCGGTATCACGTTACCGAACAAGTGAAAATCAGGGAATATTGTTTGGAGCTCTTCAGGGACTTAACCCTAACCCTACTGAGGATGGAACCTCTAGGGACTCGTTGATCCATTCAGCCACTGAGACGGAATCCAACGGTCCATGGATTCTAACTTTTGTCTATTCGAAATCTTTAGAGCCATCTCCAGCTGATGTCATTGGCGAGTATTTGTCGTCACACTTGACTTAGGTGCACTCCACTGGTCACGATCATAAATAACTGAAGTGGGTATATCATCAGGCTGGATGATTATACTGCAAACTTAGTGAACAGAGAATTGTCAGAGTATGACAGAAGTTGCTATGTTTTTCAGTTACTAATTAATACTACTAATAGAAATGATAATAAGGAAGCTATCTACAATCAATTACGGTCACGCATAATCATCTCATGTGAATTTTTTGAATGCGCATACATATATATAAATATGTATATATAATCTTACTGTTATGAATAAACAACTGCATAATTTCACATTATATATATATATATATATATATATATATATATGATAATCGATCAATTAAACTTTTTTCTATCCGACAGTAATTTACGAAATTCATACGTTTATTAGCTCTGAATAATTATTTGTACTTAAGCACTGTCAATTCAATCGAGAAATTATGCAGTGCATATAATACAGTTTAATCGATGTTCAAAAAGTATGGATTAGACGACGAATCTAATCGAATCTTGGATATACTCAAATAGTATTAGTAACACTATGTTAAATAAGGCATTTGTAAAGTCTACTTCATAATTTTCAAGTTCGTGTCTACTACGGTTTGAATAGCCCCTATTATATTATTGTTCCCTTGGGTTCCTAGTGGAACATAGGGCTTCAACTGCACGCCTCCACTTGCTTCTGTCTTCTGCTTTACTTTTCACTTGCATCCATGTTAGTCCATACCGTTTCAGTTCCTCTTCACACGATCTCCATGTCACCCTTGGACGTCCCACTCGCCGCTTCCCTTTCGGGTTCCACTCGAGCTATGGCCTGACGCGCGATGTCACCCAACTGCCTCCTCAGCGAGTGTCCAATCCATCTCCACTTTCTCCTGCATATTTGTTGGGCGATCGGTTCTTGTTTTGTTTGTTCCCATAGTTTCTTGTTGGTGGTTCTTTCTGGCCATCTGATCTTCAGTTTAGAACGAAGACAGCTGTTGGTAAAGGTCTGCAACCTGTTGGAAATTTTCTTTGTGACCCGCCAAGTTTCTGATCCATATAGAAAAACTGACTTGACGTTTGCATTGAAAATCCGAATCACTTTGTTGTTGATGCTGAGTTGAGTGACGAAGATTTCCAGATTGGTTTCAGGCTGATGAATATGTTTCTCGCCTTCCCGATTCTCGATTTGACAACCTCGTCCGTTCCTCCTGTAGTTGAGACAATGCTCCCTAGGTAAGTGAAAGAAGTAACCCCTTTCAAATCCCTCCCGTTGATGGTGATTGGCGCTGGATGTTGCTGCTGTTGTTGTTGTTGGTTGGTTATTTTCATAACCTCTGTCTTGTCTATGTTCACCTGGAGTCCTGTCTTTGCTGCTTCTTCGACTAGTTTGTCGGTTTTCGCTTGTAAGTCTTCGATTTTGTGTGACATCAAACAGAAATCATTCACGCGCGAAATCCAGGTCTTCTAGGTTCTTCACTACACTAGATATATATTTAATATACATATCTAGTATCTATTTGATATATCTACTGTACTTTGATTGGACACTAGTAACCAGTGCGATGTGTCTAGTCCTTTGTTCGGTGCAGACTGAATTCTATCAGTCAGGTTTTCAATGTGGCCACCATTCTAGGTAGCTCGCTGTCACGGTGCACATTGATTTGATGATATTAGATGGCTGGAGGCAATCGGCAGGAAGCCTTGGACTAAGGGTTCGTGCTAGTTGGCACTCACTAGTCAGCAAGA